TTGTGTTGGGGAAGTTTCCTTCTATTCCTAATTTATTGAGTGTTTTTGTCATGCAAGGGTATTGAATTTTGTCAAATGCTGCTTTTCTTTTGCATCAGTCGGGATGATCATGTGGCTCTTCCTTTATTCTGTTAATGCTGTTTATTATATTGATTGGTTTTTGTATATTGAGTTATCCTTGCTGTCCAGAGATAAATTCCACTTGGTCATAGTGTATAATCCTGTTACTATGTTGCTGAATTCATTTTGTTAGTATTCTGTGGGAGATACATGCATCAGTATTCGTAAGGGATATTCTATATATCTATATCTATTATATATCTATATCTATTATAGAATATCCCTTATGAATATAATGTCTGAGTCTTTGGGCCCCTGCATAAGGGATATATTCTATAGGGTTTTTTGGTAATATCTTTTATATCTGGGTAATATTCATAGAATACGTTAGGAAGTTTTCCCTCCTCTTCAACTTTGTGGAAGAGTTTGAGAAGGGTTGATATTTAATTCTTCTTTAAATGTTTGGTATAGGGGCCAGCATTGTGGCATAGGAGGTTAAATTTCTACCTGCAGTGGTAGCATCCCATGTGGGTGCCAGTTCAAGCCCTAGCTGCTGCACTTCCAATCCAGCTCCCTGCTAATGTGCCTGGGAAAGCAGCAGAGGATGGCCCAAGTGCTTGGGTCCCTGCACCCACGTGAGAGATCCAGATAAGGGACTGCTGGCTTCAGCCTGGCCTATTCCTGGCTGTTTCAGCCATATGGGGTGTGAACCAGGAAATGGAAGATCGATCAATTTCTCTCTCTGTCTCTCTCCCCCTCTCCCCCTCTCTCCTTCTTTCCCTCTCTCCCTCTCTCCCTTTCTCCCTTTCCCTCTCTCTGTGCTTTTCAAATAAATAAATGAATCTTTAAAAAGTTTGGTATAAGTCACCCATGGAGCCATTTGATCAGGTTTGTTGAAGTTTTCTAATTCTTTATGATTCAATTTTCATTGTGTTTTTCTGGGAGTTTGTCCATTTCATCAAGGTTTTCTGATTTTCATCTAGGTTGATGTATTATTGTTTATAGTACTTTGTTATGTTATAGTCTTTTATTTTTGTAAAATCATAAGCTATATCTCCATTGTCATTTCTGATTTTAATAATTTGAGCTTTTTTAAGTCTTTTTATGGATGAAAGATTTGTCAGTTTTTTTTATTATTTTGAAGAGTCGATGTTCGGTGTCATTGATTTTTTTCCTCTGGTTTTTCCTTTTTATTTACCTCTGTTCTAATCTTTACTGTTTGTTTTGGTTTTGGTCTAGCTTACTTTTCTATTTCTTTAAGACAGAAAGTTATTATTTGAAATAGTCCTTTTTTAAGGAATTAATTCGAGAGACAAAGAGCTCCTATCCACTGGTTCACTCTCCAGATGCCCACAATGGCCAGGAATGAGCCTACTGGAAGCTGGGAGCTCCATCCCGCTTCTCCCATGTAGGTGGCAGGAACCCAATTACATGAGCAGCACTGCTGCCTCCCAGGGTCGGCACTAGGAAGAAACTGGGTCAGGATCCAGAGGCAGGTACTCGGACATAGGCGCAGGCATCTTAGCCGGCGTTTAAACTGCTGGGCCGAGTGCCCGCCCCTCTTCCTTTTTAATGTGTGCATTTGTAGCTGGAAATTTCCCTCTCAGCACGGCTTTCCTGCATCTCATATGTTTTGGTTTGTTATATTTTCATCATTTCTCTTAAGGTATCTTCTAATTTCCCTTGTGATTTCTCCTTTGATCAGTTGGTTACTTAAAAGTATATTATTTTTTAAAGATTTATCTGAAAGGCAGAACCTCAGAGAGAGAGAGAGAGGAGGAGAAGGGGAAGGAGAGGATGGGGAGAGGGAGAAAGATCTTTTATTTGCTGTTTCACTCTCCACTTGGCCACAACAGCTGGGGCTGGACCAGGCAAAGCCAAGAGCCAGGAATTCCATCTGGGTCTCCTACACGGGAGAAACCCGAGTACTGGAGCCGTCACCTGCTGCCTCCCAGGGTGTGCATGAGCAGGGAGCTGGATCAGAAGCCGAGGACCCCAGGCCCTCACTGCGGTGTGGAGTGCGGGTTAACCCACTCTGCCACTTGCTTGTGTGCTTTCCGTCTGTTGGCGATGTCTAGTTTGATTGCGTTGTGATTGGAAACAGTGCTTTGTGTGAGTTCGTTTCAATTTTATTAAGACTTTTTTTTGTGGCCTATCATGTGGTCTGTCCTGGGGGATGATCTCTGTGCACTGAGAAGTGTGTGTCCTGTTGGTTTGACGCCGATGTTTGTATTTGTTATTGCCAAGTGGCACACAGTGTCTTTAAGTCCTGTGTCTCCGGGTTGATTTTCTGTCTGGTTATTCTACATTTCCTGACGGAAATGCGTTCTGGTCCCCCAGGCACTTGGGCCTCCTGCTGCTGCCTTCTCAGGCTCATTAGCAGGAAGATGGGTCAGAAGCAGAGTAGCTGGGACTCAAAGCAGCCCTCCAGTATGGCACAGCAGTGTCACAGGTGGTGACTTAATGTGCTGTGCCATGACGTCAGCCCCTACACTCAGCGTCCAGTGCCTGTGGAACCCGGTTGTTGGGTACCCTTTGTGGAAAGGGCCCCATTGCATTGCCTTTACTCCTTTATCAAGGGCAGCCACGTAGGTTGTTGTGGTTCTAGTTCCAGGCTCTCTGTTGCGTCCCCTTGCTCTATCTGTTCTTCCACTGATTTCACACTGTGGTGTTTACAGTAGCTCTGCAGTAGGTCTGGAAGTCGGGTGGTGTCAGTCTCCTTACTTAGCTCTTCTTCAGTATTGTGTCAGCTATCCTGGGCGTTTCACCTCTACCAGTTTGTCAATACCCACAAAACAACTTGCTGGGATTGTTTTTTCAATTGGGATTGCATTGAATCTGTAGATTAAGTTGTAAAGAATTGATATCGTGACAGCATTGAATATTCCTGTCCATGAAAATGGAGTATCTCTCCACTGATTTTACTTCTCTCATCTTAGTTTTTTGGTAGTTTTCCTAATATAGAACTTGCACATATTTTGTTAGAATTATAGCTTATTATTTCTTTGGGGTGCTAAATGATACTGTATTTTTAATTCGAATTCAGCTTGTTCATTGCTGGTGTGTAGAAAAGTGACTTTTGTATATTAGCTTTTTATCCTGCAACCTTGCTATAATTGCCTGAGTTCCAGGATTATTTTTTGATCCAGTCTTTAGCTTTTCTACATGGGTGACCATGTTATCTGCAAACAGACTTTTATCTCTTCTTTATCATTCTGTATAGCTTTGGTTTCCTTTGCTGGTCTTAGTGCAGGAGCTAGAGCTTCCAGTATGTGAAAAATGAGTGGTGTTTCTTTCTAGTCCTAGTCTGTTGAGAGTCGGTTTTTCTTTAAAAATGCATAGTTTATCTGTGTCTGTCTTTATTATTATTTGAAAGGCAGAGGTACAGAGAGAGAGAGAGAGGCAGAGAGAGAGCTTCTATCTGCTGGTTCACTCCCCAAATGGTTGCAGTAGCCAAGGCTGTGCTAGGCTGAAGCCAGGAGCTTCTTCCAGGTCTCCCACGTGGGTGCAGAGGCCCAAGCACGTGGGCCATCATCTGCTGCTTTCCCAGGTGCCTTAGCAAGGAGCTGGAATGGAAGTGGAGCAGCCAGAACTTGAACCGGTACCAACATGGGGTGCTGTCACTGCAGGTGGTGGCTTAACTTATTATAGCACAGCGCTGGCCTAGGGTTTTTTTTGTTAATCATGAATGGGGAGTGGATTTTGTCAGGTTTTTAAGTCTGACAAATCCAGGTCTTCCATCAGCACAGCCTCCCAGGGTGTAAACTGGCAGCAGCTGCCAAGGAGAGCGGAGCTGGGACTCATCCCAGGTACTGCACCTCAGGATGCAGGCATCCCAGTGCCTCATCTGCTGCGGAATGACCAGCGCCTGCCCCGTATAGTTCTATATGTGTGTGTATAGAAATATGTGTGTGTGCATCCAGAGGACATTTTACTCAGACACACGAGAGCTACTGCTCTGTAGTTTTCTTGTGGGGTGTGTGTGTGTGGGGGGGGGTTGGTACTAGGATGTTCCTGGCCTCACAGAATAAGTCAGGAAACAGTTGCCTCTGCTTCTGTCTTCTGGAAGAGATTGCAAAGAACTGGTATGCTTTCCTCTGTAACTGTGCGGCTCACCAGGGCATCCATCCATCTGGGCTCGGAGCTCTGTGTGTCAGAGAGTGAGTCAGGAGAGACGCGGGCTGATTCAGCACTCCAGTCTCGCGTGTGAATTTTGGCTTGTTGGATCTTTCAAGGAATTGGCCCATTCCATGTAGGTTATCCTCTCCCTCACTTTAAAAGATGTTCAAGGCTACTTCAAAAACCTCGTAGAAAATGGAATTGAAGGGTACGTTAATTTGGTTGCAAAAGAAGTATGAAGTCCATGAGTCTTCAGAAGTTCATGGAAATGCAATCATTAAGAAACTGTAGGATTTCCTTTTTTTGCACTTAAATAAGTTTCTTTTTTTAACTTTTATTTAATGAATGTAAATTTCCGAAGAACAGCTTATGGATTACAATGGCTCCCCCCCCCCATAACTTCCCTCCCACCCGTGACCCTCCCCTCTCCCGTTTCCTCTCCCCTTCCATTCACATCAAGATTCATTAAATAAGTTTCTAAACATGTGCGTGGCTGATCCCTCAATCTCGTTCTGCTGTCTTGATAGGAATTTTTTTTTTTTTTGAGTTTTATTTATTTGAGAGGCAGAGTGATGGAGAGACAGATTTCCCACCTGTTGGTTCATTCCCCAAAGTGCCCACCGCTGCTGGGACTGGGCCAGGCTGAAGCCGGGAGCCTGGAGCTCCGTCTGGCTCTCCCATGTGAGCGGCAGGGACTCTAGGGCTTGCATCACTCTCTGCCGCTTTCCCAGGCGCATTAGCTGTGAGCTGCCGGCTGATTCTGCACGTGCCCACGAGGTTCAGACTTTTTAAAAGCTTCCGTTCCCCGTTTCCCATTTCAGGACGTGTGGTTCATTCGTCTGCTCTCCAAGGACCAGAGGACTTGGGCTGGCAGCATGCGGTGGGTGCTTCGAAGCTGGCGGCTGGTGCGCCCTGGCCTGGATGCAGCCCTGGTGCGGGGGACACTAGGACGGCCCCAGGGCAGCCGTGCTGTGGGCAGCGCGGGCGCCAGCACCGAGTTCAGCTACGTGGTGGTGGGCGCGGGCTCGGCGGGCTGCGTCCTGGCGGCGCGGCTCACCGAGGACCCCGCCGAGCGTGTGCTGCTGCTGGAGGCCGGGCCCAGGGACGTGTGGGCGGGCAGCAAGCGGCTGTCATGGAAGATCCACATGCCCGCGGCGCTCGTGGCCAACCTGTGCGACGACAGGTATAACTGGTGCTACCACACGGAGCCGCAGCCGGGCCTGGATGGCCGCGTGCTGTACTGGCCGCGCGGCCGCGTGTGGGGCGGCTCCTCGTCCCTCAACGCCATGGTCTACGTGCGCGGGCACGCCGATGACTACGACCGCTGGCAGCGCCAGGGCGCGCAGGGCTGGGACTACGCGCACTGCCTGCCCTACTTCCGCAAGGCGCAGGCGCACGAGCTGGGCGCAGACACGTACCGGGGCGGCGATGGGCCTCTGCGGGTGTCGCGAGGCAAGACCAACCACCCACTGCACCTGGCCTTCCTGGAGGCGGCGCAGCAGGCCGGCTACCCCTTCACGGAGGACATGAACGGCTTCCAGCAGGAAGGTTTCGGCTGGATGGACATGACCATCCATGAAGGTAGGAAGCGCGGCCTTGCCTGTCCCCGCCTCCCCATTGCAGTCAGCGCACGTGGACAGACAGGCGGGTCACGTCCCACCCCTACCCGCCCCAGGATACACAACCCACAGCCCAAGGGCGAGGACTCGGGGTGGTGAGGCCTGGGCAGGTGTCCCTGGCCCCTGGTGCTGTGGCCGGGGAGGGTTTGGCCCAGAGTCTAGCTCTAGAGGCTGCAATAAGGGAGAAGCAGTCGGGAGAGGAGCGAGCGGCAGCCTCCCTTCTCTCCCTCCTTCCCTTCTCTTGTTTTAAAGATTTATTGATTTGAAAGAGTTACAGAAAGGAAGAGACAGAGATCTTCCATCCCCTGGTTCACTCCCGAAATGGCCACAACAGCCAGGCCCCAGCCAGGAGCCAGGAGCCTCCCCTGGGTCTCCCACATGGGTGCAGGGGCCCAAGCACTTGGGCCATCTTCCACTGCTTTCCCGGGCCAGTGGCAGGGAGCTGATCGGAAGTCGGGCAGCCGGGACTCGAGCCGGCGCCCATGTGGGATGCCAGCTACCCACCACGCCACAGAGCCGGCCCCTGCGGCCTCCCTTCTCCATCTCCGTTTGCACACCGGGGCCTCTGGCCCTATGCCCATGGAGAAACAAGGCAGCAGTGGACAGAGGCGTGCTCCCAGAGCTGCCACCCTCCTCCCCGGCTCTCAGATGTCAGGGCCCTGCAGTCTTAGCCTCGCTCCAAAGGCGGGGCCTGTAGGATCGGGGCAGGGCGGGTTCTCTCGCTGCATCCCCAGCCTCCTCCCCAGGTGCGGGCAAGGACGGGGTGGGGCAGGTGTGACATGGTGGATCTCGGTGCTCCATCTTGCAGGCAAGCGCTGGAGCACAGCCTGTGCCTACCTGCACCCAGCGCTGAGCCGCCCCAACCTGCAGGCCGAGGCACGAACGCTCGTGAGGAGGGTGCTGTTTGAAGGGACTCGGGCAGTGGGCGTGGAATACGTCAAGAACGGCCAGAGCCACGTGGTGAGCCAAGGGCAGCTGGGGGCAGTGCCTCTGCGGCACACTCACCCCTGAGGCTCAGAACGAGCTGCTGGGGCAGTGTTCTCATGGGTGGTCCCTGGGGCCTCATGGAGGCAGGGAGTGGATGGTGGAGGATAGGAAAGCCGTGGCATTGACACGACAAGCTCAGGGGAATAGGCCAGAGGGCTCACGCTCGTCACCGTGACCAGACGCACGTTTCTGCGCGGTGTGTGTTACATGTGGTTTCACACCTGCACGTCCCAGGTCTGCCTTCCTGCTTCCTCTCTCTCAAGGCCGGACGGCCCCCCTGCCCGTTTCTGAGACCGCTGTGCCTGCGTGGTTTGAGGGCCCACCAGTGCAGGCTGCCTTCCGATGGCAACCCGGGCAGCTCCCTGCGACTCGCCCTCCAGACTGCGAGCACGCACACCTTGCACGTGCGCCATCCCAGTGCCACGTTCCCATGGCGCCAGCCGCAGAGGGCTGTGGGGAAGCCTGACCTGGCCGGCCCTCTGCCTCTTCCAGGCCCGTGCCAGCAAGGAGGTGATCCTGAGCGGAGGCGCCATCAACTCCCCGCAGCTGCTCATGCTCTCAGGCGTCGGGCCCGCCGATGACCTCCAGAGGCTGGGCATCCCTGTGGTGTGCCACCTGCCCGGTGAGCCCCCTCCTCCCTGCTGCTCCCTGCAGGCTGCCTCTGCGAAGTGCAACGGCTGCTATTTGTCAGCATGTAGTGGGCAGGCAGTGCCCCTCGGGATTGGTACAGAGTCCTGGACCTGCGCCCTCCCCCAACCAGCCTGTCCCACGTGGAGGAGCACGCCCTGGAGCAGGGTCCCCGACCTGTGTCTGTCCGCTGGACTCAGGGCTTCCCTGAGCGCCAGTGCAGCCAGCTGAGGGTGCACGCGCACGCCGTGTAGAGACCCAGGCCTTATTTTATAAGGCGCATTGATGCCTTGAGGGCCTGGCTTTGTCTCTCCCTCGTACATAAGCCACGCTCCCATGGGGTTGATCCTTCTTGCATGGTGGCTTTGTCGGGAGAGCTCCGTGGAAGTGCCGGTCAAACCTGCGGCCCGTCCAGTGTCCCCAGGCCTTAGATGAGCCCATTCACCGTCTGTGTCCTCCTTCCCTGGGCCGGGAGTTGGGGGGTGGAGCTGCGTCCAGCCTTAATGCCATCAGCCACACAGTGACCAGTTTGCAGCAGGGCCTGCTGCCGGCGTGGGCCCCGCCCTCCCAGGAGGAAGGTGTCTGCACGGCTGCCCTGGGATGGGCGGCTGTGGTTGCTGGCTCTGGCACCAACAAAGGGTCAGATTGACTGACGTGGGGGTGCAGGGATCCCATGCTGAGCCTGGAGGCTAAGCAGGAGAGAAGTGGCTGGGAGCAGCTTCCCTGGATCAGGGCTTCCGAGGAGCCTGCCGAGACCCCCAGAGGGCCACCTTTCCTCTCCCCTTGCCCCTCCTCAGGGGTCGGCCAGAACCTGCAGGACCACCTGGAGGTCTATGTGCAGCAGGCGTGCACCCGCCCCATCACCCTGCACTCCGCACAGAAGCCCCTGCGCAAGATCTGCATCGGTCTGCAGTGGCTCTGGAAATTCACAGGTGGGCGCACGGCGTGTGGGCAGCGAGGTCTCTGCCCCGAGGTTGCTGGGTTTGAAGCTAAACCAGGCCTATGATTTCCCCTCTGCACCAGGGGACACACGGTTCCTGCCTGCTGGGCTGGCGAGGGGGCTGGAGGTGGCAGCACGCATCAGGGCTGGGGGCTGCTCTTCCTTAGAGCTGGACAGTGTGGGTTCAAGGAGTGAGGAGAGCAGACACAGGAGAGACCGTGGTGCTGGACCACAGAAGCGGCTCCTGCTCTTCAAGTTTCCCTCACCTAGAGCACTGCCTAGCCCGGGAAAGGGTACTTCAAATCATGCGATCAACACGCCTTTCTTGCACACCTACTACGTGCTGTGCTGGGGGGGGGGGGCGCGAGAAGCCAGTGAAGCAGGTGGAGGTGGCAGAGGGTGAGCGCAGACCCGAGCCCCCTGCTGGTACATGGTTGACACTTGTAGTTGTGCCAGGTGAGCCCCCCCTGGGGGGAGAGGACAGATCAGAAGCCAGGAAGAGGAGCAGCAGCAGCCCAGGAGAGAGGACAGGAACCGGGAGCCAGTGGCCCTCTGCAGTACCCTGACCGGGGCCTTGTCTTGTCCTCCTGTGATCCCCAGGGGACGGAGCCACTGCCCATCTGGAAACTGGTGGGTTCATCCGCAGCCAGCCTGGGGTCCCCCACCCCGACATCCAGTTCCACTTCCTGCCGTCCCAAGTGATTGACCACGGCCGGGTCCCTACGCAGCAGGAGGCCTACCAGGTGAGCAGGTGGAGGCTCGGCCCCCAGGGGCGCTTCTTCCAGCTGCTCTGTGTGTGTGCAGTGGGGACAGAAGCGCCGCCTGGCCGCAGAGTAAGCCCTGCAGGGTGCGTGGGAGGCTGAGACCCACTCTGCCTCAGGGCGGGACCAGCAGACCCGCATTAGCTCTGAAGTTCTGGACTGAGGAGGATCAGAGCCTGAGGCTGGGGCATGGGCAGGGTGGATTTTAATCACGTGGACAAGTAGGGCTCGGAGGTCTCCCCGCCACGGCACCAATCTCTCTGGGCTCCTGCACCGTGCTGGCGCAGGTCCCTGAGGGCCAGGCCCTGCTGCTCTGGCTTCCCCTAGGTGCACGTGGGGACCATGCGTGGCACGAGCGTGGGCTGGCTCAGACTGAAGAGCGCCAACCCCCAGGACCACCCTGTGATTCAGCCCAACTACCTGTCCACAGGTAACTCGGCAGCCGCCTTCCCTTTCCTTCCCAGGCCTGGAGAAGAAACTGCCCCGAGAGGGGTCTCCTGGGTGCTCCTGAAGCGGCCCTGGGCCCCGCCGTTGGGGACACCAGTGGCCCTCTGCCATTCTGGGCTGCAAACGTGCATCACAGGTGCTTCACAAAGCTCGTGGGAAAATGGAGTTAAGGGTATGAGTTGGCCGGTGCTGTGGCTCATTAGGCTAATCCTCCGCCTTGCGGCGCCGGCACCCCGGGTTCTAGTCCCGGTCAGGGCGCCGGATTCTGTCCTGGTTGCCCCTCTTCCAGGCCAGCTCTCTGCTGTGGCCAGGGAGTGCAGTGGAGGATGGCCCAAGTGCTTGGGCCCTGCACCCCATGGGAGACCAGGATAAGTACCTGGCTCCTGCCATCGGATCAGCGTGGTGTGCCGGCCGCAGCGCGCCGGCCATTGGAGGGTGAACCAATGGCAAAGGAAGACCTTTCTCTCTGTCTCTCTCTCTCACTGTCCACTCTGCCTGTCAAAAAAAAAAAAGGTATGAGTTTATTGTGGTGCCAAAAGATTTTTTTTAAATTATAGTATGTGGAGATATAGATGATGAAAAAACGGCATGGATTTCAAAAATGCATTTTTGGCATCAAAATGAAACTCGCATCTTTAGCTCCATATTCCACCAAGTTTGTGACGCCCCTTCTCGCACCGCCGTGTGGGGCTCTGGCTCTGAGTTGGGGGGCAACCCACTTCCTTTCCACCAGAGGTGGATGCAGGAGGCACAGGGGCTGCTAGCTGAGGAGGAGCCAGGGTGCATGGGCAGGACCCGCTGCCCCCTCCGTGCCTGCACTGGGGGGGTGGGGGGGAGCGGTGCCACCTGTCCACACACAGCAAAACCGAGCCCGCCCATCAAGCAGCTTTGTGTGCCGCAGTGGCTCCTGCACACGGGCGCTCACAGCCGGGCTGTGGGGATGGATGGGGCGCGCACTCCTGCCTCTCTGATGGAGGAGCCAGACCCCAGGGACAAGCAGGGCCTGACTGGCGGCTGCTGCTATTTCTGCTCGAGCCACACGGGGCTGTGCCCATCCCTTTCTCCTCAACAGAGGCCGACATCAAGGACTTGCGCCTGTGTGTGAAGCTGACCAGAGAGATTTTTGCCCAGGATGCCCTGGCTCGCTTCCGGGGGGAGGAGCTGCAGCCGGGAAGCCACGTTCAGTCGGATGGAGAGATCGACGCCTTCGTGCGGGCCAAGGCTGACAGCGCCTACCACCCATCGTGCACCTGTAAGATGGGCCAGCCCTCCGACCCCACCGCCGTGGTCGACCCACAGACCAGGGTCCTCGGCGTGGACAACCTCAGAGTCGTCGACGCCTCCATCATGCCCAGCGTGGTCAGCGGCAACCTGAACGCCCCAACGATCATGATTGCCGAGAAGGCAGCTGACATCATCAAGGGGCGGCCTGCCCTCTGGGACAAGGATGTCCCCGTGTACAGACCCAAGACCCTGGCCACCCAGCGTTAAGCCCCTGCCTGGGGATGACCAGAGCCACTTAGAGTAGCCGGCACGGTCCTGGCTCTTTTCTGACACTGGGACCCGGAGGCCTCGGCTCGGTGGCTGCAGACTGGATGATGTTTTAGGAACGGGACCAGGACTGGTGGGTGAGTTGAGCTCCCTTGCTCCAGCACCTGCTTGGGAGATGGGCAGGACTGTCCTCTGGAGGGCCGGCACAGGAGGAGGGTTAGCTCCGCCCTGTCCTTGTCTCGTGGTCACGTGGCTTTCTCCTATCCAGAGCCCTGCAGCCTTGAGCCCAGTGGTTCATTCCAAGCCTTCCTGTTGAGGGCAGGTGCTGTGTGCCTTGGCGCTGCACCTGCGCCTTGCACCCTCCGTCTCCAGCTGCAACCTTTAGCTGAGGCCAAGTCTTACAGGCATCTGCTGGGCCTGGGCTGGCACCCGGGTTCCCTGCGGGGAGAAAAGCAGGCTTTTCCTTGGCCACTTGAGCCGTCACCCTGAGCAAGGCGGATCACTGAGGGGCCCGCTTCTCTGGTGCTCCCCGTCCAAATAAGCAGGATGCGTCCTGCTGAGGGATCCAGGCGCCGTCTCCTGGGACGGGAGTGTGGCAGGGATGCCACAGTGGCTGCACTGGTGGTGGGCTCGGGAGTTAGTGACTCACAGGGTTTTCCTGTGAGCAAGAGACGCACACAGCTGGGTCCCCCTCAGCCCTGGGGAGCAGCCGGCAGCAGACAGGGTTAGCGCTCATCCTATAGACGTCGCCGCTGGGAAGAGACCAGGCTGGAGCCGAGCCGATGGGGGAGGCCGTGGGGTCCCGCCCTGCACCATGATCCTATCGAAACGCAGCTGCAGGGATGGCGAAGACTGGAGGTGGGGCAGCCACGAGCCCCGTCCACCAAGGGGCGTCTTGTCCTCCGATACAGGAATGCATGACTGGGTTCTGAACGGGATGTCTTTTCCACACCGCTCTGCCGAGGGAATCAAAACTGAGTTCTGATTGCTTCCCTCTGAATTGCTGCCCGAATGAGGAGGGGCTCACAGGCCCTGGCCACCCCACCGCTGCAGCGTAGGTTTCTGAGAAAACCCGACCCGGCAGGGTAGCAACAAGGCAGCCATCGGACCTCTCCTTCCTTGTAACATCGCACGCGGTTCAAGTTGACTCTCCCGTGTCTGCTGCTGACTCCGCCCCGAGGCCGCTGTCGCCCAGGCCGGGCCTCCCAGCTGCCCCACAGCCTGCCTTTCCCCGGGCCCGGGAGCAGCAGAGGGCTCAGGTGCCAGCTCCGCCACTCCCTCCTGTCAGAGAGGGGATGTGGATTCAGGTGAGGGGGAGGTGCCAGGTGCGGGGGTGCCCTATGTGCACGTGGTGGCCTACAGCCCTGCAGCTGCACCCCCCCCCCCCCCCGTTTCCCCCGCACTCAGCTTCGGAGCCAGTGGCAGCTTCTGGCAGCAGCTGTGTTGCAAGCAAAGGGCGTGGGGTCACGTGCACCCCAGCCCCTCTCCCTCACCTGGGTCCCCCATCCAGAGATACTATTTAGCTGCACTCCGAAGTGGGTCTCAGAAGACAAGAGAGCGGGTGCCGCTGTGCCCAGGCACCACAGCACAGAGAGAGCGAGCGTGCTGCTCTCACAGGGGTTTCTCTCGTGAGCCCGGGCTAGCGCCACTGGGCCGCAAGATGGACACGTGGACCCTGGAAGCACGGCTGCCTCGCAGGGAGGGAGCCTGGGCAAGACGCGCTTTGTGGTCGTAAGAGCACAGGATGAAGTGGGGCCCAGTGGCCAGCTCTGCCCCGCCAGGTGGGGAGAAGCCCCTCTGGAAGCTGCTGTGTGACCAGACACTGGGCAGCCCAGGGCCCGGAGCCTTGCAGCCTGCCCTCTGCCCCAGCGTGGGAGTGAGCTGGCATCACCACAGGAAGTTCCATCTCCTGCCCCTGCACCCCGTCCAGCGGCCCAGGCCCATGGTCTGCCAGAGCTGGAGCTGCGGGGAGAGCTGCTCCTGGGACTGCACCCTTTGCAGGCGCGGGCAGCAGAGCCGAAGTCCAGGCTTGCGTGGGGAAAGGCCGGTGTTTGTGCCCAGCTCCTCGCCCATCGTGCCGCTGAGCGTCCTCCCCCAGAAGTGCAGTTGGCAAGGGTGCAGAAGACTCGCAGCAGCAGCAGGGCCGTGGGTGGAGCGCCGAGGACCAGGGCCCTTGGCTCAGCTGGCGGGGAAGCCGTCCTCCAGCGCCCCCTCCCCAGCCTCCTGCCCGGCAGAGCTGGAAGTGCCACGTGGCCCCGGGCCGTGCCCACAAGCGCGTGCAGGCGGTGCTTCCCGGAGCCCCTCGTGGTCCCTGGCATCTTGTGATCGAAAGGCCTAAGGTTCAAGAAACTAAATGCATTTTTCTGTGGACACACAAAAGGGCTGTTTTGTGCAGGGGAGGGCGGGAACGATAGGCATTCAGTCTTAAAACTTGCCTCAAACAAAGCATGTCTACAACTTTCGCATTTTTCTCACAAAAAAAATTTAATATTCGGCAAGAGGTCGGAGTGGACCTAAAGCAGACAGACATGAAGAAGTGGCGCAGCGCCTGATAAAGATGCGGGCTTATTAACCACTGGCTGCGGGAGCGCTCCCAGCCTGTCCGGGGGTGCAGGCCGGACCCGAGGCCAACCAACGGCCAAGTAGCCCTTTGGGAGAGGCCGCGCCCTGCAGCCCCGAGGAGCCTGGAGGGTAAGAAAAAGATGCACCTGCTGGCAGGGCGGAGCTGCCAGTGGAGAGGACCCGCCCCTCAGGCGAGGACAGCCCCCAGACAGAACGAGATTATCACACAGGTTCATTCTGAAGAACATTTTGCATTTTAATTAAAAAAAAGGATTTATGTCAGGAAATAGTCATTTACAAACCTTGACGTGTTTTTGCCTGGATCTGGAGGAAGAATGTCTTTAAGAAGAGGTTTGTAAGGTTTCTGTAACAAAGTGCTGTTATTTACAAAAAAAAAAAACAAACAAACAAACAAACAAAAAAAACCCACCACCAACAAAAAGTTCCGTTGTCTGCGTCCTATTTAAAAATTTGGAACCAAGAGCCTGCGATAGCAGTGGCGTGCCTGCCGCGGTAACCCGGGCAGGAGGCGGCCTTTCGTCTGGACGGAGCAGCGCGGGAGCCCTGGCCCAGTTGCACTTCAAAGCCCTCAGAGAGCACGCGCGGCCCAGCAGCCTTGGGGTCCGCACAGACCCCGTGCCCGCCCCGACCCCACTTGCCTGCGCGGTTCCTCCCGCACCAGAGGCGCACCGCATCCCATCGGGGCAGACCGGAGCACAACGCAGTGGGCCACAGGGGGCCTCTGCCCAAAGGACAGGTGGCGAGTCAGCAGCTGGTGAGAGTCTCGTATCCAGACAGGTTTACAGTGACGCAAAATAGTTTAGAAAAATTTCTGTGGCGTCAAGTTCCCTTGAACTCAGAATTTTATATCCAAGGAATTTTCACCGAACAGATGGGAGTTGGCTCTTACTTCTTCGACTTCCGTGTAGCCCAAGTAAAAACAGCAGTCATTTCCTAGGTGTCGGTGGGGAACAGCAGTTGTTAGGACCCATGGGTATTGCTGCGGATCAAATACGGTACAATAATTACAAAATATAGACCATCTCTTTACAAATACAAAGTCGAGTATGTTACAAGTCCTGTACAGGAAATCTATAATTTTTAAACAAATAGCGTATCTAAGTTTACCTGGCTGCAAGTGCACTATTGTTCCAGTTTACAGTCGCCCTTAGTGTGCCGTGCGCCGGCCCCTGCTGCCTGCACCCTGCTCCCCAGGGACGGCGCTGGCACGGGGCTCCGACTGCCGCCTGGCAGCTGGGTGGGCACCGGGAAGCCGTGCGCAGGGCGGGAGAGGGCTGAGACGTAGATATGCTGGGCCCAGTGATATGCTAGACAGCGGCTGAGGTAATGACACAGGTGTGCTGATGGCCATCACCGTGGACCTTCCCCGCCGTGCCCTCGGGGCCACCGGGACAGGGCTGCACCTGCCACTCCCCGCAGCCGGCGCGCTGCCTCGCTCCGCTGCCCGGGACCCGTTCCTGCCCAGGTGTATGGCTTCCTTGAGGCATGACGTCACTCGCACAGAAGTCCGCTGGGACACTGGCCCCCCCAGCGAGTGCCTAGCCGCTCCTAACTATGAGGCACTTGTTCCCCGGCCCTCCTGCGCCCCACCTGAGGCCAGAGCCCGTCTGCCCGACCGACCGGGGTGGCGGGGGCTACAACGTGGTGATGCAGATCATCTCATCCGCCAGGTCCTCCTCCTCGCGCCCGGGGTCCGGCTCCTCGTCGCTGTAGCCGGGGCCGAAGTCCTGGAGCTCGTAGCCCTGCCGCTGGGGGACGGGGCCCAGGTCCCCGTTGGCGCGGGGACACGCGTTCCCACAGAGCAGGGTGCTGGCCGCGCTCTCCATCTCGTCGATGGTCAGGTCACAGGCATCGGCGATTTCGTATTTTGTCGCCGACACGAACTTTGGGTCCCTCGCGTATCGTCCCAAGCCCTCAGATATCAGGACCTGCGCGGGAGGGAGGCGGACGGATACACGCACTCTAAGGCGCAGGGCGGTGCCCAGCCGCGTCCATAGCCCTCATGCGTGCTGACCACTGCAAGCGGCTCCAGCTCTGAGAGATCACGCAGCTGAAAAGCTGCCCCGAGTGGGGGCCGACAAGCGTGCAGCCCACGCCCCGGGGAACGACTTGGTGTAGACCCCGTCTGCAGGACAGCACATGGCCCTCACTCCTGCTTCCCGCCACTGGGAAGGGTTGGCCGGCCGAGGCGGCCTGGCTCCCCATGCAGTTCCATCGGCCCGCGAGCCAGACCCTTACCGCTTCCACCAAGCTGTCGGCGCTCCTCTGCTTGTCGCTGTCTTTGTTCCGGAAGCTGCAGGGGACGGTCAGGCTGGCCGGCGTGAAAGTCCGGTAGGCGATGTCGGGCTCATCCGTGTACCAGGAGCTGCGGTGCAGGGACGGCAGGCTGCCGTTGACCTGTTCCAAGGACTCGGACCGCTCTACCTGGATCAGAGGGGTGTAGCACGGCGTCCAGTCCTGGTACGGAGGGGTCGCTGGAGGGGTGGCCCACGACCGGGTCGAGTGACTCGGTGAGTACTGGGCTCTGCTCGGATCTAGGCCCGCGACTGCCATGATCTGTGTGGGAAGAGAGGGGCGGGGTGGGGAGGCCAGAGGCTCTGAGGGGCTGGGCTTCCAGCCAGGGCCGGGAGCAGCTGGGTGGGATGAACGGGAGGGGGCGGTGCTTCCCTAGCAGGTATGTGTTCTTCCCCCAAGTCCAGAGTGTGCCTCCAGTGGGGATTCCAGGTGCTGAAGGAGGAGGGCGCTGTGACTGACGGAGCTTAGGGGAGTCCCCACAACACGGATGGCCCTCGCTGCTCTGCCATGCCCGTCCCAGGGTGGCACTCTGTCCCCGGGCATTGGGAATTGGCTGACCCCCAACCACGGCACTGCAGCCTTAGGATGCCAAGACCCTGCCTGGCAAGGTCGCAGGCTCACGGCCCCACTGAGGGAGGCAGCAACACAGGCCTGGACAGGACCGGGCGCAGGCCCCAGAGGCTGCTGCTGTCTGCATGGCTCAGGGCACCTGCGGACCCAGACCTTCCAGAGGCCTGTCCTTAGTCTGCAGTGACACAGGACAAAAATGAAACGCAGCATCCCGAGTGATGGCGGAGGAGCAAAGAGCTGGCAGAGGGGGGGACACGTGCAAGACTCCCCCCGCCAGGGGCCTGGCCAGTGACTGACCAGCCGCGCTCTGTGCTCTGCACGCTCCCCCTAGGCTGACCCCACAGGTCCAGAGCTGGAAGCATAGCTGATGGGAAATTTTCAAAAAGGAAGCGCGCCACGTGCATGTCCTGAAGGCAAAGTCCCAAGGAGTAGACTCTGGGCTCTGAGCTTGCTCCTGGCCAGCGGTGACCCCAGAGGCCCCATAACCCTGTCCTGATGCCTGCTCGCCGAGCAAGTGAGGGGCAGGGGGCCTCCAGAAAACGGTCCCACTCCTGGGGCTCGGGTTGCACCATGCCCTGCTCCCAAGGCAGAGAAAAGCTGTGGAGGAAGAGAGGCTGCACTTTGGAAGTTGGCACTGAGACCCCAAGTGCCAGCTGCTGTGTGAGCTCCAGCAGAACTGGGCCGTGACAAGGCCTCCAGGGCAGGATTGGCACAAGGCCGGGGATCCACGGTGGCGAAGGTGCTCTCCTTCCTCCCTGGGGCTGGCAGCCAAGGGGGAGGGGGTGGGGAGAGTGGGGTGCAGGCCTCACCTGTTGCTGCATCAGGTGCAGAGGCAGGGCTGTGCGGTGGGGGAGGGCGGGCGACAGGGGGACCTCCTCCTGGCTGCTCTGCCGGCGCAGGCACTCGAAGTTGAAGGAGGATCTGCGGTGGGCTGAGAAGCCAAAGCACAAAGTGGTGAAGCCAGCTCAGTGTAGACATGGCTGCCGGGAGGCAGGGAGCCCAGGGCGGCAAGAGAAAGGGGTCTCAACTCTGGGAGAGGGGAGGAGGTAGAGGGAAGCCTCCGTGGAGGGATGGTTTCTAAAAGTACCAGTTTCCAGGGGGCTGCCATTGTGGCCCAATGGAGTAAGCTGCCTGCAGTGCTGGCATTTCTCACGGACACTGGTTCAAGTCCCGGCTGCTCCACTTCCCACCCCGCTCCCTGCTAATGCACAGTGGAAGAAAGCCCAAGTGCCTGGGCCCCTGCACCCATGTGGGAGACCCAGATAGAGGTCCAGGCTCCTGATTTTGACCTGGTCCAGCCCTGACCATTGCAGTTATTTGGAGACTGAACAAGCAGGTGGAATATCTCTTTCTCCCTTCTCTCTGTAACTCTGCCTTTCAAGTAAATAATCATTTTTAAAAAATGTACAAGTTTATGACTTTTCAGTGTTCACCTGGTCTTGGGAGGAGGGGCTGAGGTGGCCCGGAAGGCAGCTGCTCCAAGCGGAAGCCCTGGCCTCGGGTATTGTGGGGAACATCGCATTTCACCAGATCTTTCTAGAATCCCAGTGACACTTCTGGATGTCATGCTCTCACCTTGGAGATGCCCCAAGCGTCGCTGGGGCCCCACCTCTGGTTTAAAGCTCCACCTGGCCGGCAGATGTTTCTGCTGGGAATGACTCAGCTCGTCTCAAAGACCAAGTGCCAAGACCACCTCTGACTTGAAGACCAGGGCCGTCTTGCTAACCGCTGTCCCCAGGGGCACCCCCGGGATGAAAGACAATGGCAAGCCAACCCACAGCTTTTGGGTCCATAGCTTTCAGTGCCACAGGGCACCAGGCCCAGGAGGCCAGCTGAACTCTGGGCCCTAACACCTGGCCAGAGGCCTCCCCCTGGCAGGGGTCTGCCTGGGGGAGCCTGGCTTGCAGTTAGCGAGACAGAGCCAAGTCACTTTAGTGGCTCCTTTCCCGGCTCCTGCATCTCCCAGCCCCAGCAAGACCCTGCAGGGCCCTAACTCCTTTGCCTTGAGAGCCTCCCAGGCAGCCTGGGGACTGTGTATGAAGCTGCAGACACCGGTGTCTGCAGGAAGAGCTGGAGGAAAGAAACCAGAGCGAGCCCAGCACGTGTCTTGGGGCATGCCAGGACCATGCTGTCCAGCTGCCGATGGCACACATGCCACTGCATGCAAGGGCTTCCCTCCATGCACAGCCCACAGGCCCGACTCAACAGCAGGCCTGGGAGAATGGGCCTCCCTGTCTCACAGATCAGATGTGCAGGGCCCAGGAACTCAGCTGGGAGCCAAGACAGGTGGCAGGGCCAGGGGATCAGCAGGGCAAAGGTCCCGCTCCCCACAGCCAGGGGCGCATGCGTCCCCAACCCCTCCTGAGGTCTGTGCAGTCGTCTCTGCAGGAGGACAAGATCCCAGCACAGGTGTGCACACAGCCAAGGTCAGTTCAGCATCCTCCCTACCCACGGTCTGCGCTGGTGGACAGCAATGCTAACCCCTCACAGATCAATATGGGGAGGAGTCTGCCTATGCCGGCCAGGGCCCTCTCCGGAGCTGGGGCAGCCCCTGCAAGTGGCGGGCATCCAAGTGCCCCCCGGGCAGTCTGAGCAGGTGGATGAACAAAGGCAGAGGCCAAGGACACAGGGAAGCCCCCAGGGCAAGGAGCCCCACCCCAGCCTCTCTGGCCCCGGCCTCATCTAGTATTCATGGTGAGTGCAGAGGCTCCATTCAGCCTTAGCATTGGGGTTGAGCAATGAAATATTAACCATGGAAATGGGCCTCTTATCGCTCTCCAGATGGAGGGAGGCACAGGGCCCTGGGCACTGCCCAACCACACGCTCTGCCATGCCTGCAGCTGGCGAGCTTGGCCGCCATCGTGTCTTGCCTGTTTTTTTGATTACTGATGCAGAGTTCTTAAAAACACGCTCCGTTCTCAGAAACCTCAGAAATGCCTGTTCTGGGATCATCACGACGCTCACATGTCCCAAACCAAGAGCACGCAGCCAGGAGCCATGGGGCCCGGCTACCCTTCTTTGCCCAGCCAGAGCATGGAGCCCAGGTGACCCGCATCAGACAGATGGCCAGTCCTGCCCTGGCCGCAGGAGGAGGAAGCCCCTTGCTTCAGGATGTTCCTGGCCCCAGCAGATGCCCCTGTCCTGCAGGTGACCCCTCAGGCCAAACCGGCCCCAGTAGTAGAGGGCTCTGGCAGAGTTTGGTCAGGGCCAGAGAACCAGGGACACAGAGAAGGTGGCAGATGAGTGCCAGTGGGGGGCGGAGGGGACACACACTAGGAGTTCCTGGGTGCCCTGCACCGAGCTTGGTCCTCCCCCCGCCCCCCCACCATGGTGCACCAGACCTGAGCAGACAGCAGCCACGGCATGGGCAGGTCTCCCCCTCCTCTGGGGACACGTCCCAGGCATGAACGAGCACAGCAAAGCCCCTTCCCGGAAAGAAACGCGGGCAGTCACAGACTGCCTGCTGCCGTACTCCCAGCCAGACACGAGCAGCGCAGAATTGGCTCGGGCTTGGTCTCATGGAATATGGAGGGGAAAGCAAGGAAAGCCACTTGCCCACCAACCCAAGGACTGCTCTCCGGGGCTGGAGGTGCCTGCCATGGAGGGACACGCCCGTCACACCCCCCAGGGTGGGGGGAGACCTGGGAGGCCTCACCTGTCGGGGTGGGAGGTAGCAGGCGTCTCCTCGGAGACCTCCGGGAATCGTAGCAGACAGCCGAGTCCTCGTCGTCCAGGAAGCCCTGGGAGTGATGGTAGCCGCGGGGCCTCTCCAGGTCCAAGGTGCTGCCGGCGTATCTGCTGTAGTAGCCACAGCTGTGCCTAGCGGACAGGGGCAGAGGGCAGGGCATGTGAGGGGCCGCTTAGCAAGCCCCGGCTGTTAGGTAGGAAGTCAGGAATTATTCTATGTGTGTGCGAGAGGGGTCTGAAGACCAGCACCTACTGGTGGAAGCTCCAGACACCCAGGATTTTGCACTTCAAAGTCCTGCTCAGACCCTGATAACCTCCCAAGAGAATTCTCTCTCCTCCCGACCAAACGGGTCACCTGACCTGATAACGTGGGCAATAAACCTTCACAGATGCCCCCTCAGCCTGGCGCCCACAAACCTGGGGAGGAATTTGCTAATTTACCCTCTACAAACCCTTTGTCATAGAGGAGGAGGGGAAGGAGAAACCTGGCCCCATTTTCCTTTGTAAGCTGTAGTCTCAAGCAAGACTGGGCGTGCTCAGTTCTCTGCTGAGCCGCCCGCCTGGCCTGCCCAGGTGTTTTCTCTCCATTCATCCGTGTAACCTCACTCTCCCCCAGTGACTGGCCACTCACTATCTGTCCCTTCGGTTCTGACATTCTGTCACATGCCCTATCCCCAATAAAGCCTTCGCTTCACTCTCTGACTGATGCCTGAATTCTTTCTTGCATGAAGATAAGAACCCCACGGCTTCCATGGCTCTCTTCTCCGGTGACACCAGCAGACCCTTGTCCACGGCCTGCTTCCAGCTCATGTGGACATGGCAGGACTGGCAGGGAACAACGCAGCCCCGTGTCATGGAAGACTCTAGATGGAGAGCCAGGGCTGTCACGGGGAGGCTCAGGACCGGGTCAGAGGTGGACTGTGGATGCCCTGGAGGCTCCACTCTTGTCCACTCGTCCCCTCCCAAGGGCCTGCTCTCGGCCGTGTGCTGGGCTGGGCACCAGGGACACCAAGACACTGGTGGCACAGTCCCTACCTGCAGGGAGCTTAGGGCCACAAGCACCCTGGCGTCCAGGGCCAGCTGGAAAGGCCAATGCAGCAAGGAAGGGGGCTCGTGGGGGCTCTTTGAGGGTCTGAGGGCTGGGGAGGGGGCATTAGAAGTCTGCACAGGAAAATGAGCAAGGTCCTGATGTGTCCTTGGAGAGCGGAGGGAGTGAGGCCAGCAGAAGGAGTGAGGCCACACGGTGGGCAAGGTAGGAGCCAAGGCCCCGAAGAAGGAACCCCAGAGTCTGTTAGGCTCAGGATCGACGCACAGCTGAGGGCCACTGGGGCACAGATGGGGTGCAGTCGTGCCGAGACAGGGTTCACGGGGAAGAGTGTGGTAGGTGGCCTTCATGCCTCTGCAGCGCCTACTACGTTTCCTAAAGCAAAGCGCCCAGGTAAACCGCCTTCCTCCTGTAGGACACAAGCCGGGAGGGGCCTCGGCTCTGACCTTGCAGCCTCATTCCCAGGAGAGACCCCTTGATGGAGGCAGCAGCAGGCTCTGTGCCCCTGGGAGCCTGGCTGAGCTGCTGTGCATATGGCGTCCCCAGGGCAGCTCCTTAGTGCAGTCAGCACCTCTGATGTCCCAGAGGTCAGGGTGCCCACAGAGAGGGGTTAGCCCGGGCCTCGGGCAGGCCCAGCTTATGTTTCGGGGGTCCTGACTCAAAGGCCTCTGAGGCCCATGGTGGAAATAAGTCAACACGTCTGGGTCAACAGCCACTCTGCACCTCTCGGCCCCGCGTCTCCTGCTCCTGTGGGTGATCCTGTGCCTGGCTGGGAGACGGCCTGCCTAGCCCGGGGAGGAGGTTAGGAGGGCGTGGCATACCATGCCTCCTGGGATGGCCTGACTGCTGGCAGGCGGCAGAAGCCCCACGCAATCACTCCCCGTCCCCCCACCATAGAAGGGCCTTATAATTACCAATCAGGCAAACAGCCCCCGGGTGTGGCCCAGGCCCATAAGGACCACCTGGGAGGCTACCAGCGTGACCTTCAAGCTGATTGGAGGACCACAGTGGGGCCAATATCAGCTTTATCCTATCAAATCAGTGCTGCCCTGAACTAGCTACGTCCCCTCTGCCTGTGCTTGATTGTTAATAAACGGACACGTTCACCGAAATTTGTCCCTGGTGCTTCTTGTAGAAGAACGCCGTCGCCTCACTGCCCCGACGGTGTGCGGGCCTCGCGGGACGGGTCCGCACTGCTCCTGCATTCATTCACTCAGCTCCTCACAGGGCTCCAGACTGCAGCTGCAGGTGGCCCTGGCCTCCCGGGGCAGGGGATGGGAGGGCTGCTGACCTCAGCCCGAGCCCGAGCCCGAGCCCGAGCCCTCACCTGCTCCCCGTCGGTGAGCTGTCCTCCTCGTAGCACTCCTCACTGCTGAAATACTCCTGCTCCCCTGGGCAGCGGGGGTCCCTGAAGTAGCCGTCTATCTCCAGGTCTTCCCGGCAAATAGTCGGGAGCTGCTCGTCTCCCGAGTCGGACCTGCAGAGGTGAGGGAGACAGACACGTCCTGCAGCCAGGTCCCTGGGTGGGGCCAGCGTCCCTGCAGGGGGCTCCTGGCCTCTCCTGGCATGCACCTGCCTCAAGCAGGAGGGGACTGGTTCAGTCCTCAGGCCAAACCCAGGAACAAGAAACTCCATCCGAGACTCCCATGTGGGTGGCAGGGACCCAGCCACTTGAGCCCTCACCTGCTGCCCACCCAGGGTGTGTGTTAGCAAGCAGCTAGAACTGAGGACATAGCTGCGACTCTGGTCCAGGCACTCCCCACCAGCATCTTAACCACTGCACCCAACACCCAGCCCTCCCCAAGCCTCTCAAGACCCCTCCTCTACGGGACAGAACATGCTGCATGCATGTTGAGGGCTGCAGGGGAGGCAAGTGAGAAAATCATGAGACGCTGGACCCCCAAGAACAGCCAGCCTTGCTGGCTGCCCAGGCCTGGGATCCCTGGTGTGCGGCCTGCAGGAGCCGGCCTAGGGCTCGGCCAGGCACGTGGCTGCTGTTCATTGGTTGGTGCCGAGTCTGTGCAGAGAGGGATCTGAAAGCTGCTGACGCCCGCCCCTCAAGCCCGCAGCCCTCAGTTCAGACAGCTGGCAGGCAGGCGCAGGCAAACTGCTCCCTCTGCCTGGCACTCAGAGGCCAGCCGGGCACACAACACCACGGCATCTAACACACCAAGGCGGGCAGTGAGCACGTACCTAATGTAAGTTTCATAGTAGCGGGTTCTATCCAGGAAAGGCATAACAGGGGAGGGAGAAGACACAATTATCAACTTTTCCAACCAGGTGAAAATGCAGATAGCCTACTGCCACCCAGGATAGTGGGTCGGCAACCCCGGGCTCACGGGCCAAATACAGGCAGCCACTGGTTTGGGCATTTGCCCACAAGTTATAAAGTTTGATATGTTCATAAAGAACTGAAAAAAGAAAAAAGTCTTTTCCTCCCACGTGAATATGCGCAGTTCAAATCTGGGTGCCCGCAAAGAACAGTTCACTGAGACACAGCCTCACCCAGATCATTCACGGCTGCCGCGGCAGAGGTGAGCTGTTAGAAGCTGCAAATATTTACTTTCGGGCCCTTTACAGAGAAACATCGGCCAGCCCCTTGTCCCAGAGTGCACTGCTGCACCTGGGCTATTCTCAGGGGCACCCAGGCAGCGGGACGTAAGGCAGCCGGGGCCCCTTCTCTGTTGGCTGCACAGCCAGTGTGTCAGTGGCACGCACAGGTCTGAAGGTAATGCCTGCAGGCAGTCTCCTCCACGTGCCAGAACCCAGGGCGGAGGTGCCCCCGGCTCTGCGGGCAGACGCTACACTGCCAAGGGCAGACCCACCGCCAAGTTTACCTTTTAACACTGCACCTTCTCGGAGGCTCCCGGTCATGCTTGTGGGAGGAATGGTGCCCGTTTTCAGACACAAGCTCAAGGTTCCCAAGGCTGGGCCGCTTTCCATGGGCAGCTTTGGACATATTGGCATTATTGAGATTGGCATTTGTTGAGGTGGGAAGTTGCTTTCCTATGGAACTATGGTTATGATGGTTATGACACACCGAATTTCCTGCTGGAGGAAACAGCGGTTTCTCAGTATCCCTTGCAGGTGGAACTGAAGGCCTTTGGACATGCAGGGGACGGTGGGTGGTATTGGTCTGTTGAAGGGACTCTCTCCTATCACTATTAACATGATTGACATGGTTTCCAAGCAGGGCACCATTTCTCTGCAAAATAATGGGAGACAACACCAGGTGACGTAACAAGCATGTGACGCAGGCCAGCTCTGTCAGCTCAGCTCTCTACGTGAAAAACTAACTCAGGGCACGCTCCACAGGATCCCTGGAACACAATCTGAGGGTCTCACCACCGGGGCAGCCGTGGGCGTGTGGCTCCCCTCCCCCCACCCCACCCTCGCCATGAACGGAGAAAGGCTACCAGTTCCCGAGCTGGGAGAAAGCGCTCAGCTGCTGCTCCAGCCATAGTGACTCACACCCAAGCTGGGCTGGGGGGCAGCCCTGGGGTAGGCCAGGAAGCATTCGCTCTGGGCTGGGGGGCTGGCAGCTCCAAGAGCTGTTCCGGGGGACAAGGAGGGCAACTTGGGCAGCGGCTGCAAGGACCCAGGATGCCCCCCCCACACACAGTGGCTGTCACCATTGGAAGGGGACAGTGAGGAGGGGGAGGAGACAGGCTCAAAGAAGGAGTTGGCCTGGCCCTAGGAGAGGTGCTGGTGAATGGGGCTGGGGAGGATGTGCTCTGTAAGCCCCCTGGACTCTGTGGCTGGTGCGCATTTTCCATACTCTTCTGTGGCTCATTCACTGCCCCAACTCCAGTCCTGCCCTGCTCTCTCCAGCTAGGCGTAGAATAATTACTTTGAACATATCTTCTTCCTCCCGCTTTGCTTCCTCGGGCTCGTCGTCCTGCAGGTCACACGATATAGCACGGCGGATTTCCGGCCCAATGTCGTGCAGTGTCCTTAGTCCCGCCTACATCAATGAAAATGGCAGAACATGTGGTGAGACGACTCGTGGGCCCCGGGGTCCTGCCTGGGGCATGGCTTTGCACCTGCCTGATCTGTGGGGTGCGGGGTTGGGAGGGAGGGAAAGACTTCTCCAAAGGCTGTTTGAAACAGGAGGGTGGCTGAATGTGGTCAGGTGGTCAGGATGGTCCTGGTGGCAATGCTTGAGGCCTGCAACTTTGTGACTTCCTCTGCGGAGACCCTGCCTTGCACGAGGGTCGGCCATGGCCACAAGCACACGTCCCTGTCCCACGGACAACTTTCAGAGGGGTCACCTGCAGGGCACCACCTCCCCAAACCACGAACAGTGCAAGGAAGGGAGCATAGCTAGGAAGCTGGCAGGATGTTCTCCTGTCATGGGCAGAGGGGAAGTCCAGGTACGGGCGTCAGAGGAGCAAGCAGCCCACCGGCTCTGCCCTAAAGCCATGAACGAGTGAGTGACACACACGCTGCAGCCACCAGCATACTCGGACTGGGACGGGACAGAGAGACACGCACACACACCTGGCCATCTGAGGCGCCCCAGCCTGCAGCCCATGTGCCAGCTGATAACTTACCAACAGAGAGCACACGTTAGATGGAGAGTGGCTGCCCAGCCTCTGGAGGGGGCACAGGGCCCCCTCCCCGGGGCCCCATGGACCCCACGCATGCACACTACATGCCCCTGAGCCGCACAGCCAGCCTTCCCTACTCCTGTTTCTAGGTCTAAGGCCTGAATCCAGGAGGCACCTCCTCATTTCCTGGTGGTCTGCCTGCTACTCAGCAGCTGCCAAAGGCTGTCAGCAGGCCTAGGACATCAGCCATACGACCTCAGGGCAGTTACAAAGGAGAACTGGGCTGGGAGCTGGTCCTTAGTGGAGGACACTGCCTTCATGTCCTTCCACAGTGCCCTGCATGGGGTGGTGGCTGTGCCCAGGACAGGGACAAGGCATGTGACTAGGCCTTGGGCACATACCTGGTGGGAAGCATTTGGGGGAATGGAAAGGTTGGGGGACAATGTTGTACTGGATCTAGCAGGGTTGGGTCTCCCTGTTGTGGGCATGCTCAGAACCGGTCTTTGTGTTTGGGGGGGTATTTGGCACAGTGCTTAAGATGCTACTTGGGACGACAAGCACTGGAGTGCCTCGGCTCAAGTCCTGGCTCCACTTCCGATTCCAACTTCCTGCTGCTGCAACTCCTGGGAGACAGCAGGGGAAGGTCTGGGTACTTGAGTGTCTTCTACTGATGGGAGAGACTCACATTGGATTCCCAGCTGCAACCCCAGCCAGAGGCTGCTGCAAGCATTTGGGGTGTGAAGTCATACATGGGACATCTCTGCTTCTCAAATAAAAATAAATTAATATGTTAAAAAAAAAAGACACCCTGGGCCAGCACTAGGGTACAGCAGGTTAAGCCATCCTCTGCAGTGCAGGCATCCCACATGGGCACCAGTTTGTCTCGGCTGCTCCACTTCCAATTCAGCTCCCTGCTAATGCACCTGGGAAAGCAGTAGGTGGCTCAAGTCCTTGGGCCCCTGTACGCAGGTGGGAGACCTGGAAGAACCTCCTGGCTTGGGCCTGGCCCAGCCCTGGTCACTGTGGCCATCTGGGAAGTGAACCAGTGGACGGAAGATCTCTCTTGCTCTCTTCTCGCTCTGTAACTCTGCCTTTCAAATAAATAAATAAAATCGTAAAAAGCCCTGGTCTTTGCATACACTAGTGGTGGCAGTGTTAATTCAGAATGTTGACTCCTGTAGGAGTTTCTGAAGAGACCTTGCCCATAACAGCCCCAGCCTGAACTGATTGTTACGAACGGCATACCCGGCATACCCGGTGGATTTTATCTGACTCTTTCTGTGAATGGGGAGCAACAGGTCTTTCCATTTCATCAGCTGGGGTGGGGGGTGGGGTGCCAAGATTCAAAGCCTGAAGGTTTCTGTGAAACGCTGTGCTCATAGGGAAGCCTTGTCCCAGGCCACACCCAGAATGGTTCTTGGGGTGGTGAGTGAGGCCACTTGTCACCCTCCTGTCCCTCTGATCACAGGTGCAAAACTCAGTGCGCACGCACACACACACACATGTGCACACACACGCACGCATCTCCTCTCCCAGGACTCCCGAGCCCAGCATATGGGAGCTGGGAATCACCTGGCTCCAGGTGGACCCACTCGCCACCGAGAAGCAAACTCTCATGTGACACTGGCCAAAGCTCCTGCACAGCAGGGCTGCAGGCGTGTGGAGAACGGTGGTGGCAGGCAGTGCCGCACAGCACTCAGGTCCTTCGCTCAGTATTGTTCTAGGGCTCCACTGCCCAGGGATGGGCAAGCTAAGCCAGCGTTCCACCATCAGCCTCTGGAGCAGCTGGCGAGGAGGCTCTGGTTCCACAGCTGCGGCGTGCAAACCAGAGACCAGTTTTGAGACACCTGCTGCCATCTCCACAGAGTAGCCACAGGTCACAACGGACGTAGGGACTCCGACACGCCCCAAGGGCATCCTGCACCATGGCTGAGGTTACAAGGCAGGCCCATGGCTGGGCTCGAACAACAGATAACCCTGTTCACTGGCATGGAGCCCACGGAACTAAGTCTGGTTACAAGAAATAGAAAACTATTTATTTGGATCATTTTTAACATCATCCTCTGTTGATGGGTTGACATTTCACTGAGATACACATACAACGTCATTGCATAACAAAAACAGGAAACGGCCTCCAGCACGTCTTCAGGAATACACAGACTAGGATTCAGTCTGGCGCAGCAGAGACACAGGACAGAGAACATGTGTGCAACAGAAATCGCGGCGAGCTTCCGAGGCGGCCCCGATGCCACCCCCCAGATGACGACAACGTATTTGTTAGAGAACACACCGCTCTTCCCCGACACAGCAGCAGGGGCCAGAGAGCCGGACTGCAGGCTGCGCGCTCCGCACAGGGAAGAGTGCGCCCGGAGGAGGCGGGGACCGACTTCTCTTCATCACGCGTGATCTGGCGGGGCTGGGAGGGGCAGGGGCTGGGGTGTCCCCAGGATGGTGAGGGCAACAGATGTCCCCGAACTTGAAACAAAGCGTAAGCACAGCACCCTGAATTACATATCACAAAATACAGTAAGGAAATTTTCCTAGCACACATTTCAAGCTAAAAAGGTAGCTTAGGCTGCTCCGAAAATCCCATAGGCACAAGTTCCAATTCCAAGAAACACAAGAAACTATTATAAACCCTTGAAATAAAAAAAAAAAGCTGTTTTCCACAGCCCCCAAAAGAACCTTATTTTCTTGAAATAAGCGCAATCAGTAAACGATCCAGTCTTTCATATTTCATTTTGGTGTCTACCTCTACCAGCAAAACAGTCTTTTCATCTGAAATCTGGTCAGGACCATTTAAACCCACGCAATTAAAGCTACACAGGGTCATTCCATTCACATTGAAGAAGGATTATGGTTTTGAATAAACACAGAATGGCTATAAAATATAAACATGATTGACTCATTTTTAAGATGTCCAATCTTAGAAAATATTCAACAGAATCAAGCCTAGCTTCTGGTTGATTTTAAAACGCGAGATGTTATCATAAATATTCTTTTAAAAAGACATGTTGGCGGTTTGCCTGTAGACTGCTGCTTTAAAATTTAGACACCATTTTATTGGAATTTTATAGATAGTTATTCTATCGAAATAAGTCATCAAAAAAAATCAAACTCTAAAATCTAAACATTTCTCAAGCAACTGCAAAAGATGATGGTATTCTGACATCAACTACAGACATTCACTCGCTTTCCCTCCTCTCGCCCACTCTCTCCTACCTGGGTGCCCCTGAAATGCCTTTGGCACCTGTCTCCCTAAGCCAGCCCCATCAGAAACAGCAGCCCCTGGCCAGCTCTCCCAGCACAGACACAGATGCACGCACCCCCAGCGACCCACACAGAAACCTACGCTGTAGCAGTGGAGGAGGGAGAGGCAGGTCTCCAGCGGGGACGGGGCCGGCCCACTCATCTTCAGGATGCGAGAGCACCAGGCTGGCCGCTTCCAGCTCAGGGAGCCTCGCCTGGCACCGCCTGACCCGTCACACGCAGCCCTCACTCAGCCCAGGCTGGCTCCGCACGCACGCAGGCATCTCGCTAATGGCCAAGTTCTCCTTAACCCCTTCACAGGATTCAGCTCCCGCTCAGTGAGAGGGGACAACCATGGGGTAGTTCCATCAGAACAAAGAACTGAGGATTGAATTCTTACAGAATAAACCTGCTCATCCTCAAGCTGTCCTCTGCCTCCTCTGCATACACACACCCCACACACGGGCACACCCCCTACTGTGTCACTGCTTTCCTCCAGGGGAAGATGTCACGGTGTGGCCTTTGTGTGTACTGTGAATAGTCCTCGTGTCAGACACAAAGTGTTCAAACCATAGGCACCATGCTCCGTTAGTCATCTGCAGTGACTCCGACTCTCAATGAAAAGGCACCTGCCACGTGGGCGCACGGCACTCAGCAATGGAAAGCCCATCAGTGACCATCACTTTGCAAGGTGAAACAAACTGAAGTCACTGACGATTTCGCCCTACAAACGAGCAAGATGGCTAGCTCCTTCCATCCCACCTGGACTCTTAGCTCTAATTTTTAACACCAGATTCAGGAAAACGTATGCGGGTTTCCTGGCAACAGCGCGTTCGGCAAACTGCAGGTCCAGCAGAGGCTGTGTGTCACACCCTCTGTTCTGATCTGACCTTCCTGCCTGTCTCTGTGAGCCACCCCCTCTCCCCACCCCCTGTTTACATTCCACCAGACAGTCAAGAGTGTGTCCGTGGGGTCACCTCATGGGTCAACAGTCCTAGGCCTGCTCATCCCATGATGCCACGCAGCTCCATAAAAGCCAACGCATCCCCAGTGCCACATCGACTCTGGCCTGCGCACCTACTGACATACAGCTGCAAGGGTAGGGTGCCACCTTGTCAAGGCTGACCTTTCTACCAACTTCTCAGAGCTCTCATCTCAATCGGCA